TTTTTAACTGTCAGTGATCCCGCACTGTTCGTTTGACTTTGGGACCTGAAGAAGACGGAGTTTTGGACCCAGATTACTCCGCGAGGCTCCTGACTATGGTAGCCGTAATGCTCCGACAATCCATCAAACGGTGCGGCTTTGTAGCTTACCAAAGTCGTACTAAAGCATTTTTTGACAGATTTTTGAGCGCCGTGTACCACATAAAATCGGTTCGAAGTCAGTAAGCACAACCAGAATTCATACATAAGGTGCACCGGATTATAAAGCGCACTGTCAATATTTGAGAAAATTAAAGGATTTTAAGTGCGCCTTATAATGCGGAAAATACGGTATGTTTAAAATTGGCTAAATTACTGTGGTGGTTACTATAGGTGCATAAAAGGGTCATTTTAGCACATTCGTATGTAGTTGCTTGACAGCATGATGATATCATACGCTTTCAAGGGCCAAGAATGGGCAAGTTTGGTTACGTCTGATCATACCGAAGATGTTAGTGGGAAAAACACACGAAAAAAGACAATATCATAATAATATGATATGTATTATAGCTTAGCTAAAAAAAAAGTCACATGCACATGTTAATTATCCTTTATTATAATCTCATTGTTTAACTGTAAAAAAAGACCAAAGTTTAATTATATAATCATGATTATAAAATGTTACAGTTTCAGGTAAAGTAAGATATTAAGGTGTATTTTGCAAATTTAACATTCAGCAGTCACGATGCTCAACAGCACATTTCTGACCTGCTCCTATTTGCATTTATATGCATACATCTGTATATTCAAAGGAAGGAGAGCAGGCACAGATGATCATCTGAGAGATGATGGATGGCAGTACTCTTTATGGATCACTTCACTATCCATCTCTTCATGCTCAAACTTTCATGCACGCACTTGGATTGTCAAGGTGGTAGTGGCTCACAAAGTCATTCATGTTGTGTGTAATACTGATAGTAGTTTGTGCTGGGGTCATATCCAAAGATGAAAGGTGTCTTGGTGGATTGGCTGTCTGAAACTGATATGATATGAGTGAGGATCCTTGTTTTCACTGAGCTGTGGAATGAGTGATGCCACGGTGTGTTGCCTGCATATAAAACACACTTTTACCTTCAGCTTTCTGCCCAAACAAATGTCACAGCAATTAAGGGGAAGTCTCAAACTCCCTCATTTGTGACAAAATGCCTTTTTCTGCTTTCAGTACAAAGTCTGAACATGAGGGCTTTTTTTCTCACATTTTAGTGCCACACATCAGAGAGCTCAAAAGACGTTTCATGTACTTTAACTACTGGACACACACATAGACCGGTGAGAGGTTATAAATGACAGTCGCTAATGTACTTTTCTAAACCATGAAAAACATGCACATTTACACCATTACAAGAAAAAGTAGTTGAAATGGAGATAGAAAATAAATGTATGCTACACATTTAAACAGGGGGAGAGCAATTTTACATCTTCTTTCAGAGCAAAGAGATGTGGACACTTCTCACACAGCATTGACAACTGAGGTAAACAGTCAACAGTGGACTTCGACACATAGGGAAAAACTGCTGTCCAGACAGAAACACAACAGCAATTATGGGTACATTTGATGGTTTTGATCTTCCTTGACTGACTTAAATATTTTGTCTTACAGCAGCCAACATATGCTCTTGAACTGGGAGGGGTAAGAAAGCAGAACTCAGTTGACTGTAATCTATTGTCATGTAGTGGCCAATATTTTACACACTAACTTTAAAACTGATTATTTTCTCAAAGAGAAACAGGCAACGCTTTACCCTAATCTATACCACCCCACAACATCTTCTTACTTGTACCAGTAGTTGTACGTTAGCAATCCTGACTTGCAGCTATAGTGAATAGTGTAATCCAGCGGTCCCCAACTCCCGGGCCTCGGACCGGTACCGGTCCGTGAGTCGTTTGGTACCGGGCCGCGAGAGATGAGGCTCAGGTGTGAAATGTGTGGTTTTCAGGGTTTTTATCGGTTTTCAGCGTTATTTTGTTATCGTTTTTATCATTTACTCGGTTTTCCTGGGTCTTTCCACCTGTGTTATGAATAACTCTTCTATTTTTCAGTAGCGGTACTAGTTTTATTTTGTTGTATTTATCCGCGACACCTTAAAGGCCGGTCCGTGAAAAAAAAAAAGGTTGGGGACCGCTGGTGTAATCCACTGCTTATGCATTGTCAGACCCAAAGACAGCCGACGGAAGGGCTGCCTGAGGGCACTGAGGCTATTCACAATCATTTTTCTGACTGATTATATTTGCATATTCTGTCACACATGTGCAAATTGTACTTGCGTTTTTGACCCTGTGCAAACCTCAGTACACTTGAGCATTTGAATCTGTGATTCACTCTGTGATTGCAGATAAATCTGAGTACCCACATAGAGACTGAGGCACACTTTCAAACGTTTTGCACACATTAATATGCCATAATCATACACCAACACCTAAAACCAGCAGTATTTCTCTTTTTTTTTTTGCAGAGTTCATTCTTCTGCCTATTATTTTGCAACCTGTGATAACTAAACTCTGCTTCTCAGCTTCTGTGAGAAAGTTCTCCAACTTCATCTGTCTTGCTTTTGGCAAGATGTAATTGGATTAGGGAGGGTGAAGGAAAGCAACTCCTTGTGGTTTACTCTCGTCTTCTTCTAGTATCTTATAAACAACAGGAGCAACGGGAGAGGAAATTAACTTGTGGTGGCAGATCATCTCTTGCTCTCTCGCTCTGTCCTTCCTATCTTTTTTCTTCATGCTTCCCTCTCCCCCTCACTGTGCTTTTTCAGTTTGGCTGGAGCTGACGGTGATTACAACTCATTAAACACCCTTCACGCACTTGTCTGGCTGAAATGAACAAACAAAGGATTTAATCCAAAATAGGCAAAAATGCAGCCTTGACTCTGGCGTGCCGGGATCGGGGGATGAGTAAGGAGAGTAAACAGGAGACATACTTTAAGGTGTGCATGGAATAAAGTGGCAGAATGAGGATGGAGTGAGATGTAAGTAGTGGAGAAGATGGCTGGAGGGATTACATGCAGTAGGAGGAGAGGAGGTGCTGGGGAGGTAAATAGCTTACACTAATTCTTAAAAGAGAAGGTTGTTCAAGCTGTGAAAATGAGTTAGAATTGCCCTCGCAGGTGTAATGAGTTTTTCTTTCTGTCTCGAGCTTTATAATGCACGCCCTCCAGTAACACCTGAGGTGATATTATGCTCCACAGCCGAACAATGCAGTTGGAGGTAATTAGAATTCACGCGCGCAATTATGTTGTCAGATATAATGCTAATACCGTGGTAAATGAAAGAGATCAGCACTTTGCTCACGTAACAGTGGGGGGCATTTTATTTTACGTTTTTCATCCAGCGAAATCCAGAGTGTTTTATGGAGCATTAAAATACCAGAAAAATCACTTTTTAGTTAGATGGAAAAATACTTCACTGAACACCACAAGTTCACGTGTCTTGTAATACAGTTAGGTTCAATTTGTTGGGGGATATGAGATGTATAATATTTATGGTGTATTCTCCTATGTAATTATGGTGCAAAATTTCCCACATGCATCTACGTTGACCTTTTGTGAGTAAAATCTAATTAGACTTTGCAAAGTTCTGGAAAGCATGCATGGCTAAAGCAATGCTCATTTTCTGTACAGCCATCTGTAATCTGTAGTCTGCCTTGACATTTAGAAGAGGATATATTAAAAAAAAAAAAACAGCTGCGTGTCGGTGAAACCTCGTCATCATTGCCATCAAATAGATGCATGACTATATAAGTTTTCAAGATTTAATGTCTCATAGAAGCCGATTCTGCTCCAATCACATAGGCAACGATGATAAAATACACAATTTTCTGACATCAGCATAAATGATCTATAAAAAAAGTATAAGTCAGCATGTTTTATAAAAACTTCATAAAAACCTCTGAATTGTAGTGTAACCCTTGCCCTTCAGAGGGAGTTCTGAGTGTCATGTTTAGGCTGTGTGCAGGCAGAAATGGTAAAATGGAAGATCCAAAGTACAGATAAAACGTGAACTCCAAAAACAGCTTTAATGCTAAACTCAAAATAACAACCTTCCGAAGTACAAAGAATAAACTTGGGCAGTCGGGCAGACAGAACACACAGCATGAATGAGGGTAGATCGCGACAGTGACACAGAGAAACTTAAATACACAGAGGGAGCAATCGGGGAATGGGAAACAGGAGGGAAACACAGCTGGGACAAATCAGTGCTAAAGAGACAAAGGAAGCAAAAACTGATACAATAACATGAGACACAGACTTTCAAAGTAAAACAGGAAACATAACACAGAGACGCAGACTTGACACAGGGATACAGCAGACAGGGGAGACAGCAACTATGGATCACAGACAGAAAACCAGAACACTAAAACTCAAACAAAACCCACACAGAGAACCTAAACTAAGAATAATCCTATAACCCATAAGACAAAGCTAGAATATAATGAAATAAACAAAATCAAAGAACCAAAAACACAACACGGGGCTGACGACCCAGGCACCCTAACACTGAGTGCTCTTGTTGATCATGAAATACCTCATCACTGTGAGCCACAGTTAATATGAAAATGCTCAGTGATCACTCCAAGCAGCACTAATGGTGATTACAGTGTCTGTATTGATTATTGTGGTGAATCAATAACTTTGTGAAAGCAGACAAAAATTGGCACCACTGCCAGTAAACTGTCCCGATCACCTCTTTTTCACCCGCACTGTGGCAGCACTTAATCTAGAAACTGCATTTATGTCCATGAAAAACAAGGCCTGCATCATGCTGAGTTCTCAAAGTGTGAGTTAGATCATGAAAGTGTCAATGAATTGGCGCCACAGTGGTGGGAAAGAGGTGTAAGAAAATACTTTCTGGATGTCGTGAACTGTTTGTTGCCACCAAACACGCTAAATAATCTGATCACTTGTAATTTTGTGACATGAAGTTCGATCCAATTTCAAATGTGACGTTTTTATTTTCTCTCCTCAGCTCTGCTGCTTCTGTACGACGTCACCAACAAAGCATCCTTCGATAACATCAGGGTAAGATCAAACTCGCCTGCTTGTCAGTTGCACCTCATTTCTATTCAGGTTCTGAAAGAATGTTGTTTCATTTATGCTACGCAAAGTGGTCTGTGTATCATCTCATTCACAAGCAAGGATGATATGGGCAATGTCTCTCGCCCTATTGTACCTGGGATAGGCCCCCCCCCCCCCCCATGAGGCAATGACAAGGATAAGTGGAAGAGAATGGAGGGATGGATATATGGATGATACAGTGGCTAGGCTTGCTGTCAAATTACCCTAACCCTCAGGTGGAGGGAAGCTCCTCACCAGGAGTCAGAGCAGTCAGAGGGACTTTTACTCCAAGAGTGACGGCCAAACATCTGCAAGGAGCTTGGAGAAATGGAGATGTTAGAGCTAAGTTATTAACAATGTGGGTCACATATAGCCCACTTTGAGCTCAAGTTGGCCAGACCAGTGAAACTCCCCTTTTGTTAGTGTAACAAATTTTAACTACACATTTAATGAGAGCTGTCTGGATAAAAGAAAAAGACGTATAGTTTCAGCAGTAGGTCTCAGTTTTTTCTACATGATAAAGTAATGCTGCTGGAAGAAGTCTGTCAGCATAATTAATATCTGGCTTAAATTGTAAGAAATAAATGTGTAAAATTAAAGAAATCATTCTGTTAGCTCGTTGCCCAGACTCCCAAAAATAGAAAGTTTTTGGTAATTCATGAAAAATGTCCTCGTTTTTTTGGAGGAAAGGTTGTTTCTTTTTTCTTTTTTCATTTCTTTTTTTATTTCTATGTATATTTCTAGATATTTCTACAGTAAGTGCAACAATGCAAAGATTTCTGCTTATTTATCAATTAGTAAAATTGGTGTGATTGACTGTGGGCAATGTCTAAAACATTAAGAAAGGTTGTAAAACACAGTTAAAGGTCCAAAAATTGATGCCTTCTTTCACATTTTTCAAAGCATCAAGTGGGCCGGACTGGACTCTTTGGTTGTCCTAATTCTGCCCCCCCAGGCCTTATATTTGGCACCCTGTGTTACATTTGGGTTGGTCTAGCACTCAGATGTATGTGTAAGCATGTGCTCTCACACATAAAAACAGAATTCCACAGGATGCTTAGCTGGATTATCTCTGCCTTGCAAACGTAAGCTCCTCCTGAGGTAGGGACATCTGCTCATTTTTAATGACATGCTGCCTTCGTGACCAGCCGGCGGGTACGAGACATGATAAATAGCTTTATTATATGTTACTGAGACTTAGGAGGTCGTTTCATTATTCATTGACTTTCCTCCCACGTACTGGCAGTCGGCTGTATCTCTGAACATCAGCTCCTGTCTACTTCTAAATTGTTTCTTTTCATGTAAACAAAGCAGAAAAGCACAAAGATATCATTTGTGTCTGGTAAAAAAATTGCATTTGATTACATTAGTTTTCAAAGCCGTCTTCAAAGTTACGCCATAAAATCTCCGATACTTGCTCATGCTCAGACCGGGGATCAGATGAAGGCGACGGTGATGATGATAGGAGAGCTGAGGATGACCAATGTAGCACCAAATGAAGGGAGGGGACAAAGTTGAAGAGCATAGGGGTGCAGATTACAAAACCTTTATCTCTCTGAAGTGGCAGCCTGTCTGTCACCCAAACTCAGTTCCCACTGTGATTTTCCAGCCATTTCTTGCCCCATTTGGTGCCACTCCCCACCGTGCCTTGTAGGTGCATGATTTTCCTTTGATTAACACGGGGTAGAGTTAAAAGCAGGAGATGGCCATTTAAAAAAGCGAGTGTCTTTCACATCAGGCAGAGGAATGGTTCCACAGCCATCTGGCAGGTCTGATCCACTTACACCTGATGTGTGTGTGTGTGTGTGTGGATGGATGTGCGGGGCTACCGGTGTGACCTCAGCATGCACTCGCACTCATACAGGTGTGTGTCTGTGTAGGTGTGCAAATGGCTTCATTAGCAGCGGAAGGAAGAGGAGTCCCTAGAGAGAAAGAGACACAGAGCTTAGCTTCTGTCCAAACAGCCGCTCACCGTCATTATGCCTGCATTTAAATAGCTCTCGGTTGGGGATATGAAACCTTGGATACTAACAACAAATGCCCAAACCAACCATGGATAACCCTAACTTTCAGGGGTCCCCTGTCTCGTCTGTCACATTCACTTTTAGCCAGCTGGTTGTTACTGGTCTCAGCCATCAGCTTCTATTTGCTGCATCAGGTTTTCGAGCTAAATTTTGGGGCTACATCACCCTGATGTCACCCTGACACGTACTGTTAGGAAAGCGGTCAGCCTGTTCTTTTGAGGTTTATCAGCCTCTAAAATCAATTGATGATTAGATTACAGTAACAAGTGGGAGCTCTAAATGCAGCAGAAAATTTTGTTTGGAAGTAATGTTCCTGTGTTATCAGTAATAGACGAATTAACTCCAAATGATACCAGTAAATTCTAAAGGAAAATGTCAGGACATCTCTGGTACAGGAGATGTCCTGACATCTAGGCCCCATTGTACCATTTATCTGTGAAATGAATCTCAAGGGGAAGTGGGTGTTGTATCTATGCAAAGTTCACAAGACGCTCTGTTGAAGAAGAACAAAGGTTTGGACTGTCAAATGTCAAAATGTCAAAGATTCTTCCAACAGAAATCTTGTCGATTGTCCATGAACGATACAGAATTTAATGTTCTGAGCACTAGATTAGGATAAGATTCACAGGCTATACAGGCCTGAGTTAGCATAAAAATGTTCAATGTTACAGTTCATGACAGTAAAAAGACAAAAAGACGAGTATGGCTTTTTAAAAAAGGTTCCCAGGGGAAAGGCTCTTCTCTCTGAAAAGAAAATGACATCATGGGTTAGACTTGCAAAGATGCATCTGAACAAACCACAAGACTTCTCGAACAATGTCGTTTAAGAATATGAGACCAAAGTGATGTTTGATCATAATGCGTACACGTTTGCTGTAAACCAATCACAGCATATCGATACAAACACCTCATATCAACTATCAAGCATGGCGGTGGAGGGATGATGATTTGGGCTTTTTTTTTTGCAACCACAGCACCTGCCTGGGTACATTGCTGTCATTAAGTTGACCATGTATGTTTTATTTATTGTACGCAACAACACAATCTACAGCAAATCTACAACAAAAGGGCTTAAAAAGAAAAGATTAAAGGTGTTTCAATTGCCTGGCCAAAGATCTTACATTGATTGAAATACTGTGGTTGAAACCTTCAGAGAGCTGCTCATAAACAAATAACCCCAAACATCAGTGAACCAAAGTTATGCTGTAAAGAAGAATGCACCAAAATCTCTCCCAAACGATGTGCAAAGCTGATGAAGTTATAAAGAAAGTATCACTCCAAGTTGTTGCTGCTAAAGGTTTTTCTCGTTTGTTTAGTGTTTCACAGGTCTGCACATCCAGTGAGGAATTTAAGGGGCTCACAGAATTTGGTGAAGGGAGCTAGTGGATGTTTTTTCTCTTTAGTGGTCTCTGTGTTAATTTTTGCTGTGGATATATTTTCATCATGCCGTATATGTCTTCTTTTAAAATGCAAGTTTATATGAGTGATACCTTGGTCAGGTCTCTCTTGAAAAAAAAAATATATATATTTTTTTATCTCAGTGAGACTTTATGGTAAATAAAGGGGGAGAAGGCTCAATAGGAAAATCATAATGAATACCCAAGGCACTAACCCTTTCTTTTCTTTCTACTTGAGTGCCACGAGTTTACTGTCAGTCAGAGAGCTGAGTGCAGCATACACACAAAACATTGCTCCAACAGCCTGCAGGCTTGTTCATGTGAAGGGCAGCTCCTTGCACCACCCCACACATACACAGCATGATTGTTAAATTCACTAAATATTCACATTAGCCATTAGGAGAGAGGAGCTTAGCTGCTTTGCTGTAGTCCATGTTTTTTTTGTGATCCCTCAGACTATTCGTCACTCTGTTAGGAGTCTGGAGATGGTTTCCTTCATGTGTTCACAGTGTGTTGGTCGGTACAGCTCAAACCTGATGAACATCCACAATTGTATCTCTTTCTTTTTTTTTTCTCTTTTTGGAGTCCTCAGAAATTTAATTTGTTCCTGTCATGATTAATTTGCCCCAGCATGTGTTTGTGAACATTATCCTCACTTAGATCCTTGTTCTTCAAATTAAAGCCAGATTGTCATCGAGGTAAACATCTAGCTGTAATTTTACACTTAAACCAATGGAGTTAAATTCATTTAATCTGTAATATTGCATTGTTTTCCTTATATCTTTTTGTCAATATTATTCATTTTATTTAATAGATTTCTCTCTTTTAACGTTTAGAACTTGAAAATCTGTTGAGTTGTTTGGTTATACAGTATTCTGCAAAATTCTTGATTCTAATGCACTTGAAAGAAAATATTTGGAATGATCGCCTTTATTCTTCTGGACTCTCTTAGGCAAACTTTCTTGTAATTTCTCGAAGCAGTCTTCAGGAATAGTTCTCCAGTCTGCTTGATTGAGATTCAAAGCTTTTGTTTGGATGTTTGCTGACTTTTGTTCTGTTCTTCTTGCAGCCTGTTACAAAGTATTGAAGTCTAGGCTCTGAGGAGGTCAGTGTTGGAAAGGTTACGTTTAAAATGTATTCCACTACAGATTACAGAATACATGGTGCTAAATGTATTTTGTAACGTATTCCGTTAAGCTACTCAATGAGAGTAACGTATTCTGAATACTTTGGATTACTTAATATATTGTCATGTTTTTTACAACTACATGAATGTACTATTGCTGTGTGATTTATTACTATTACTGAAGGCTTTGGCCTTGGCGAACAGTGGATGAACTGAAAAATACATCTCTCAGGTCCTGTGTGTGGTCTTTACTCAATTTGTTTGCTATTTCTTAAGGACTTGCTAAGTTGTCTGCTATATATAGATACAACACTGAGTCATACCTTGAATTAGATACCTTTTTTATGCTTGAACAGTCCATAGTTTAGTTTTAAGAGACTTAACAGACAAAAATCCAATGAAATGATCAAGTATAAG